CCCCCGTTGGACTTTGTCCAACGGACGGTTGACCCTGCACCTGTCTACTATCCCCAGAATGGAACAGGCGAGCGCGCCTGATCGTGTGCCTTTAATGGTGCTTTTACCGTACATATATCGAACCCCATTCAGACTAAATGAACCTTACAACAGGCAAAGGTTCACAGGTAAAGCCTCATACGCACGGCCACTGAAAAAGGTCGTCAAAGTGGTTCACGCTGGGGAGCGAGGCTAATCAAGCTTTCTAAGTGTTGAAGAAGAAGGCGACCTTTTGTCCCTTTCCAAGCTTTCTGAACTTTTCATTATCCTGAGTTTCATGATTTACCTTCGCTTTCAGGACTTCAAGTTGGAGGAAGTACCCAAAAAAGAATATGGACAATTCTACAGTGAATGACGCCTACATTGTTTTATGCGTGAGGAAATAATTACTTGGCTATTTGATCACACTAACGTTTTTGCATGTAAAGGTAGCTTTAAGTCATCTAACAGTGGGTGGAATGTCCACTTCTGGCTGGGTGAGACTTCTTCTCAAGATGAGGTTGGATCAGCTGCCATAAAAACAGTAGAGATCGACCAGGCTCTCAACGGCCTTCCAGTACAATACAGAGAAGTGCAGGCACATGAATCGCCGCTGTTTCTGTCATATTTCCCGAATGGCGTCAGGTACGCTAGTGCAGACTTTGGTTAAGGTGAAAAAATGTTTATAAAATCACAGAGGCCTTTCAGATATATCGCAGGAGGTTACGAGTCCGGATTTCATCATGTGGAGGACAAGTTCAAAGACTGGAAGCCAAGACTGTTTCACTGTAAAGGCAAAAGGAACGTTCGCTGTCATCAGGTGATCTTTACTTAACAGAAACTTCCCAGCCTTGGTGACGCCTTGAAGAGTACTTAATGAGTCTCTCCCATCCTGGGGAAGAGTTGTTCTCAAGAACTATGTGCATTCGAAGACGAGTCGACGAAGGGTCACAAAAGCTGTGCCCTAGTGTGAAGTCCACTTACAATTACAGTTACATAAACGCCAGTGTCTGCTGCTAGGTTTTCCATGTTAGAGGAATCCTCCACGGAAAAATTAATTGTCATTTTGTGAATGTGCGGTTCAACGAAAAGTTATTCAACATCATACACAACAAACACCAACACGAATACCGAATGGTGGGTGGGAGGAAGTGGAGGGGGTAAGGGGGGGCTAAGTCAAGTCTGAAGATGATGCGTTCCTTGTACGTGTCTACAACAATGATTTTGTATTCGACTAACTAGCTAAACTAACTATGAAGCCCCACAGAACGATCGCAGCGCTGTGAAGCCATGACAGCCAAGCCGCAAATAACTTGGAAGTTTAAAGGCACCTCACCTCAATGAAATGAACAGGGCGAAATCGAAGTTTGTCAAGGGGCCACAAATTCCGGGAGAAGCGGAATCGCGCTCACCTCACTCAGCCAAAAAACATCCATCCATTTGATAGTAAGCTACAGTTTCT